TAAGATGTATTGTATAGTGAACAAGAATCCTCGGCTCTGTAAAGTTAATTCGGTTGAGCCTTATCAAATAAATTAATAATAATAATAATAATAATAATAATAACCATTGTATATACACTCAAGTTCCAAATGCAGTATTTAAGGTTTTTCATGCATTTTAACAGAAATACACCAATTTGAAGTTGACCGATTTTTGCGCGTTCCAGACTTTAAGCTTGAAATTGTAGAAGAAAAAGAAGAAAAAGAAGAAGAAGGAATAACAGGCTTATTTGGAAATTTTCCATCTGTCAAATTCAAGTGAAAATACACCAAATGGAACACAGCCTTAGAGGCTGAACAACTCCCTCTCGATGTCAGAAATAAACAGCTTTGATAAGGAGAATTTTATACGATATCACTTTCTATTTTTCGTTATCCTTATCCTTATGAAATGTAGTACATCGTTAAAAAAAAAAAAAAAAAAAACAATCATGGAGGTGAGGCGCAAACATGAGAGTTCGCCAGCAAAAAAAATCATAAGCACGGTTCCGTTTTCAAGTGAACTTCCTACCCGAGCAAAGTCCAGCATCAAAATGACAGCTAATTGAAATCAAGTTTTGATATCAACATCAAACTGAAATCATAATTTGATTTCAGTTTACGCAATTGACAAATTTGATACCTAATTTTGTTTTCATTTTGCTGTAATTTGCTCTTCAAAAATATGTTGTTGCGGGTTTGTTTTCATTGCCTTAGCAATACCCCAAATTGAATACTTGTTATGTTATCAACAAGAAAAATGGATATCAAATTTGGTTTTCAGTTTGCTCTCACTGATAGCAGAAATAGTTTTCAATGTGATGTCACAGGAAGATATGTTTGCTCTCAATTTTGATATTTTAACCGTTAAAACGACCAAAACGACAGCAACCTGAGTAATCATTATCAGCGAAATCACAACATCAAATTTAGATTTCAATTTGATCTCAGACTTTGCTCGGGTAGCTCGCACTTGATGATTTTTTTGTCGTAGGACTACGTCTTTAATTTCTATATGGGGGTACACTTTGTGAAAACCGAAAATGGAACATGTAACAAATTATGAAAGATTTTTAACGTTAATAACTCAGCTGCCCCTGGTCCAATTTCAATAACTTTATCATCAATCGATCACTAAACGATCACGAAAACTAATGAAAAACTGGTGAATGTCCAGCATTGTCCAAAAGCGTCAAATTAACTATCAAATCCACCAATTACCTACATGCATATGCTGCTTCCCCAGCACAGTCGTCAGAGAGTTGTAAGTAGACGAAACAAGTCGAAGTGGTATTCGCCTCCGATCCTCGGGCGCGTGCGAATAAGGAGGATGGAATTGCGTAATATTTTGCATATTCAGAACCACACGCTCCCAACGACCACACAAAATGCTCTCCAGAGTTGTAATCTTGTAACCAAACTTGGAAACAGGGGATACACTCAAAAAATATATCACATATGTAATGCATGAAATCCATGTGAATTTCACATAGCTTTCCAAAAAAAGTTGACGACAACCTAAAGAAATCGTTTATGGACTTTGTCGTTCAGTTTTTTCCTGGAAATTTTTGTTAAATAAGCTAGAATTAAATAAAAAAGGTTTTTTCCCATTCATTTTTTAACCGCTTTACTACCAATTCTCAGATAGCCAAAACATTCAAATTGGAAAGACAAAATTCACTCTCACGATCTCAATATCTCAACATTCCATGTATTTTGATGACACTCTGTAACATTTGGTGGGGGAGGGAGGATTAACATTTGAAGTCCCTCCCATTTTGCATATTCTGCATAAAAAATCCCTCCCTTATAACATATTCTGCAAGAAAATCCCATTTAACAAAAATTCTAGGAAAAAACTGAACGATAATGAATGATTTCTTTTGACTTATGTTGACCATAATATGCATCCAAAGCGTTCCATCCACTTTTCCAAATTTCCTGGTTACGGTGTAAAGCTAATAGGAAGCGGGGAAATATGGTACCGGCAGAGATGGTTGTCTATATAAGAGGTAGCTAACTGCGTCTTCGCATTAGTTGCGAATGTTGCGATTCACCCGTTCAACGGTAAACAACCAGGAGGCATGACTAGTCGTGGCAAGGGTGGCAAAGGATTTGATAAAGGAGTCGCCAAGTGTCATCGTGTGATAACATCCAGGCTCGACGAGGTGGTGTCAAGCTCATCTCCGGTCTGATGTACGAAGAAACCCGAGGTGTGCTGAAGGTGTACCGAGAAAATGTGATCCGTGATGCCGGATGCCGTGATGATCACTGAATACGCAGCTGCCTACACGTCATCATCATCTTCCAAAGGCTTTGAGCCTGTACTACCATCGGCCCTGTTTTGGGCCATCAACATTTTCCAAAAGAGTTCTTTTTCTGAACATGTCCCAACTAAAATTCATATCAAAACGTTCTTTGCAGGGCAATCATAGTCATACTAAAGAGTATAAACAGAGAGAACCCCGCTTAAATTCCTATTCCTACACAAGACACATGCTCCTGCTGCAGTTAACAAAAATATTTATTATATCATACCACGTAGTCCTACGTCATCATTGCGTTCAACCCCATTGGGCTGTCCCTAGTAGTTTTTTTTCTAGATGTAACTGAGGATAGAGTTTTGCTGCAGGAAGCAAAATCAGTTTCACGACCTCCCTCCGACACTGCTACGGAATAGTGTCAAAAGAAGATTAGTAAATATTGATATTAATACTGCATTATTCATCGCCACTAGTTCCTAACCAGTTTAGAAAGTTAGTTTACTATGGAATATTCCAGGCTTCATAAAAATCGAATCTAATTGAACTTGCGAGAGTCACAATTCACATCTAATTTTAACATCCCAATCCAGTAGCCAAAACAAATAAGCCACCACATCGCTTGTCGCCGCTGTTATAGCGGACGCACCATTTTAACGTGTTTTTGATGACGTTTTATTGGATATATTACAGCCTGCTGCTGCTTCTCATCCCAGGAATTCCACTTAGTGAGTACCCGAGCAAAGCAAAATAACAACCTGATATCATCTAAATAGATAAAAAGTCTTGTTATTCCAGGTATCATTTTGTTTCCAAATGTTATCGCATCACTAATTTAGTTATCAACGTTGACTGATGTTGATATCAGTTGTTATCATGAAAGAAAATACTATTTGTATATGATGGTTCGATCAAAGCTTTAAAGACTATCCACATGGTAACGAAAAAAACTAGTGCTTTACACCGCTAATCGTATTTCAGTTATCAGCGTTAGGCTTTAATATGAAATCGATAACATAATTTGAAATTGGTTGAAAGATTTAGCATGGATCACAGGATTTGTTATCAAGATGCTTTCAAAGATAAATTAGATGTCAATGAAGTTATCCAGTGCTATACCATCCAGTATGCCTCATAAATCAACTATTGCATACCGAGCAATTGTGCTAAAATTTCTTTATAGAACTCCTCTCTGAAGGAAAGAACATCAATCAGACAATTTTAAAACAATTAGCCACGATGTCTTAATGTTTAAATGTCTTGTTTTGATATTCTAGAATATTCTTGGTGAGGAACTGGAATGGCATTTCACTTGGTTTTTCCACCATATGTGCTTAAATTATATGTAATATGGTAGAGCACTACCTCGTCGTAATCGCCCATTTCCGTTCTATCGATCAGAAAAGATCAATAATATCAATGATTTCACCGTGCACAAATCAAAACAGGTTTTTTCCGATGCGCTAGTTCATTAGCTACAACATAAATCCTATTAGAGCGCATTGTATGAATATTTACGCTCATTGTTATCAAAAGAAAAGGAGCGCTCCTAGCGAATCTCCTTTTTCTACGTTTATCCGTAGGACGAAGAAAATCTAATGGCGCTTCAATGCGTTAGGACGGAATTGAAACTTGTAGAACGAATTTAGAATCAAAAAGCAGTATTAGATTTTTAACAATATCTCAACAATTTGTGATTCTTTATCAAATTCGACGGTACGTATGGAAAGGTGAATAAATTTAGCAGTCATCTTTTTCAGAAACATTCCAATTTTTTTTCAAACCCGTTCAAAAAAGAGAGGTTAAGGGCGGGTCGTGCTTAGAAGGACGGAAATTAGATCAAAAACCCTATCATTAATGGTTGAAAGTTTAGATTTGAATGATTATTTACCACAATTGTTCGATTTACGCCGTGAAGTATGCAGTAGTTGTTTTATGATGCATGCTGGATGCTGGGTATGGTACTTCATTGACATAAAAATATATTTTATGATAACCAACGAGCATTTTTATGATAACATATTAAGGCATCCGAACTTGTTACCAGTTTGGTATAAAACTTTACTCGGGCTACTGGTTCCCACATCACACACCGAGATCTGGAAGATCAGGGAGCCCTTTCCTACCCTGTAGGTGGATGGATATCGTATAGCTAGCCACCTAACAGGCCCCGTAAACAAAACGATCCGCTAATTTATTGGTTGCACGTGTTAATTATACCGACACATGACCGCGACGCGACACGACGCATCGGAGATGGGCGCGAAAAGAAAACACACGGTCGAATCAAACGACCATTCGTTGGTGTGTTTTTGTCTTCTTCGCCAATGCCTCTAGTTTGCTTCTCGCACAGTTTAGTGAAATGCATTTGCTTTTATTTTCGGGATCATCTGCATGCTGCATCTTCGTTTTGATCGTGTTTCTCTGCACCACGTGATCATAAAAACAGATTAGTGTCAATCGAATGGAGCCGGGATGATCGGATTCTTTCCCGACACCGTCGTCCCGCGGGTGATTAGAAAATTTCCTATGTTTTGAACTGATCGCCCGTTGTTTTATTTGTGTTTATTTACAGAAGAGGAAGAGTTACCGAGTTGGGGCGATGTTGAGCAATTTGCTTGCAGAGGGAATTGGACCGGAGTTTACAACCCAATCCTGTGCCAGTGGTCGTCGTGATAAGATTTTGAAATCATGAGTATTTTAAAAGCATAATCCACTCACCAAGTAAAATCTCGAAAAGTGCTATACGAGCTGGCAGGCGAGGACGGAGCGCAGTCATCGTCCAGCAGAGGGATGGCGGAGCCCGTGCTGGCAGGATGCCGCTGTTGCTGATGGTGATGGTGGATCAACAGTTCCTGCTGCTTTTTGGTATAGGATTTTTGCACATCGTTGAGGTTCGTACTGCTGCGGGCTCTTGGACTGCTGGCACTGCTACTATCCGAATCGTGGTTGGCGTTGTTCTTCGACACCTGGAGGACGCTTTTCGACCGGCCGATGACGTTCGGTTGCAGTGCGTCCAGACTTCGGTAGCATCGGTCCAGGTACCGCACCACCTCCTCCATCACGGCCCGGTACATCTGTCGGCTGGAGTCAACCTGTTGAAGACAATAAAGAATTATTATAAGGAAAACGGTTATGATCACTCTACCGCCGGTGAGTGGAAAGAAGACGGGCGTGAGTCGGGTCACTAAGTAGGTAACCGAATTTCTCAAAACAAACACTTGGCTTGGCATCGAGCGGTGGAGAATAAAGACGAAAACGATCGTGATGGTTTTGTTTATTTTCCCTCGTAAGATGCTGTGCTGTGTGCATCTCCCCGCTGAGTTGGCCGCATGCAATAGCATAAAGCAAACATCACGCGACGGGAGGAAGCTGCACGCCCCACTACACCTCGCGAGTCGCGTCTGTACCTGCAGCTTTGTGGGAGGATGAGATTTATGAGTGCGATAGTCCAAATCTTCGGCTGTGGAATAATATGCTGCTGTGCGAACAAACAAGTATGCAAGCACAGGCTTGGTGTTTTTGGGACAGCTCAACTACAATGTCTTCCTATGATGGCGCACAGACGCACGGGATTGTTATTAACGTCGCCATCAGCATCTCCATCTTCATCATTGCCATCATTTGCCATGCTACAAAGTCAGTTGGTACCGGCGCACGGGCGAGACGGGTGTTTGAATGGTAAACATTTGATGTACGAGATTGGAGAAATGGGCCAGGTAGCTCAAGTTATCACAAGCAATTTTAGTCGTACACTAAATGTTCTGTATAATGTTTTAATCAAAGAGATTTATAGCTGCAACTGATGACTCAAAACTCATGTTTTAGGAAAATGTAAAGAAAGAAGATATGAACAGTAATTTACGAACAATGCATTGCAGTACAACAAAGATTGTGCTAATGTCAATCATATCAGTCGTCCCCAGAAAAGACCAGTAAAATCGTAAAATTATAAAGTTTAAGAAAGATGTCTCTTTTGTGGCAGTCATGGGTGCTTGTTTCATATGTTGTTCAAGGGTATTTTTTTTAAAGGAATATGTACCTTCTATGGAATTAATAAACAGCCAAATATGTCGTGTAACACTGTGTAATCTATCAAATCGGCAAATACCGTCGTGCCCTGAAATCCCGACAAATTGCAGATTGCAAGATGTAGTTATTAAAGTTAAGATACATTTAGAAATTATATTTGCCAGCTCATCCGTTCGTCCAAGCCATCTCTGTCGTATTCAGATAAAACGTATACATTTTATACTCATTAAATTGATATAGTGAACGGGTGGCACTGAAGTTAAGATATGTAAATCCCTAGTTTTTCCGACTTGTCTAACATAGCTTGCCCGGTTTAATGGAAACAGATAAATTCGGTAAAATACCCCAAGTTACATAACAAATTTTAAAAATCGTGGTTTGATAAAGCTTTGATTGCCTCTTTCCCCAAAAGGCCTGGGTTCAATCCAGGACGGCATCACTGGGATTTTCTGAGGCGCACCTAAATTTACATTATTTTTTTCTAAGTGTGTAGGTAATCCAGAAATTGATAATTTGGGCACAGGATTTATTTTAATTTAAAACGCATTTTAAATTCTGGAATATCCAATAGTTACTAAGGTTTCATGCTTTCAAAATAATTACCATCCCGGTCTAAGGAAACTCTCAAAACCACCTCAGGACTCAAACTTAGAATGGCTAACAAAGACGTCGAACAAAGGAACACATTTCATGGATCATTGCGGAGTTTGTTTGATATCGGGAAGAATTTTAAGGTAAAAACCCGTGAAGAAAAGCAGGCGATGCAATATTTGCAAAAACAGCGGGAACAAGCTCATCTTGAAGAAGAAACTGAGGTTCTCCCTACCAATGAAACCATTTCATGTAGCGATTTTGAGGAAGAAGGGTCAAGCCAAAGACCGGATCAAATTTGTAGTGCAACCTCAATTGAAACATCATCACAAAACGACAGCCAGGCTGGATCAGTGTACTCGCCTAGTACATCCGAAAGAGCTTCTCCAAAAACAGGTACGTTGTGATGTTTTACTAATATTTTTTTTTTTTAGATTATACACCTATTACCATCCATATTAATGTATTTTGAACGTTCTAGGTTCTCCAAAACCAGCTTTGACACGTAAATCGCAACTGATAAAGAGTTGTTACAGTTGAGGTAGCTGCTGCATTGGACCGCTGTAAAGTGAGTGATCGAAATGCTGTGTTTCTAATATCATCGATCGCTAAAGCTTTAGAGCACGATGTTTCATCATTATTGTTGAACAAGGAATCTGTCAGAATCGCCAGAGCAGGAATTCACTTACAAATGCAACATGATTTAAAAGCGTCGTTTAAGCCAGATATAAATTTAACAGTACATTGGGATTCTAAGCTGCTACCTAACATATTACCATCCAAAGCTCTACCAAAAACCGAGCGCTTGGCCATAGTTGTATCAGGCGAAGGCATTAGCAAATTATTGGCTGTTCCACCCATCGAAAACTCTACGGGGGCACAACAAATAGAAGCGGTGTACAATGCAGTCGACGAATGGGGGCTTGCGGACAGGTATGATCTTAAATCTTGTATGTTCACCTCAGAATTCTGACTATTTTATCGTTTGTTTTCAGAATTATGTCTACATCTTTTGATACTACTGCATCAAACAACGGTAGAAAAAAGGTGCGTGTCAGTACCTGGACAAATTGTTTAAGAGGCAGCTTATAGGCCTCCCTTGTAGACACCATATACATGAACTGCTACTTGGCAAAGCTTTTAAAATTCTGAAATTTGAAACGTCAAAGTCTCCAAATGTTGAGATTTTTAAGGGATTCCAATCAAAATGGCACATTTTGGGAAAGACTTCATACCACTCAGGTATGGATGATGATTTTTTTAAAATAGCTATTTCGGAAACAGAAAGATTGGCGTTATTGGAGTTTTATGAAAAACAAATTAGAGAGCAACACCACCGTGGTGATTACCGAGAGGTTCTACAACTTGCCATTCTGGTGCGTTCCACAATGCAAGGTGGATGGCCAAAATCATTTATTCTTTGAAAATGTTTATTCTTCGGCATGAATTTGCTTTACCAGATAAAACTAAAAATCAACTAGCTCGATTTTGTGTGTTCATTGTAAAAATTTATTTGAAAAGTTGGTTTCTTTCTCCGTGTGCTGCGATGGCACCCATCAACGATCTGAACCTGTTAAAAATATTGAAGGAATATGAAACTGTTGATGAAGACGTTGCGAAAGCAGTACATAAAGGAATTTTAACTCACTTGCAATATTTGGACAACAGCCTTATCGGACTATGTCTGTTCGACGAAAATGTAGACCTCCCGGTAAAGAAAAAGGTAAATGATTTAGTTGATACATTTGCATTTAATTTTCTAATGATGTTTTTTTTACAGATACTCATAAAAACATAACAGCCAGATCCATTGTTGAATCCAACGATATTTCAACGATTGAACTACACTCGTTTGTACAAGGCAGCAGTGGTATTGAAAACTTATTCAAAGCTCTCCAAATTCCGAAGTCGTTGCTGAATGTCGAAATGGAGCAGTGGAGTAGTTCCATCGAGTTTAAAAATGCCAAAAGACGGGTTCAATGTTTGGAAGTAGTTAATGATAATGCAGAGCGTGGTATAGCATTGATTAAAACATACAATTCAAAACTATCAACGGATGAAGATCAAAAGCAGTGCATTTTACAATTAGTTGAAGATCATCGAAAAAAATATAAGAGTACCAGGAAATCTGATTTGGTGTAGCTAATAAGGAAATATATGGCAAAGTATAAAACAAGTATTTTTTCATCTTTTCAGGCAAAAGTTCTTCTTGTGTAAAACTCATGATTCCAAAAAAAAAAAACAGATTAACTCAATTCAAGATATTTTTACAATTGATTTTAGGAATTTCTGATGAAAAGTTGTGGTTTTTCATATATTTTTGAATTTTTAGACCACCCTTATGAAGAATAATTGGACCACCCTAGTGAATTATTTCGTATTAGATCCTAAATGGTGGTTTAATTCGATATATAAGCAGGTTGGAGACAATTGTGAACAGTTTTAGAAGCCGACTCATCAATCTTCTATATTCCATATAGAACTCATGAAAAAAAGTCCCAGAAAGTCGATTTTTGAAAAAAAAAATTCGAGATAACACCTAATCTCGATGTTTCATGCATTTTTAAGACATTTGGCATCAAAAAAAAATTTTGATTTCCGAAATCTTATGGGAGATTTTCAAGAGTGAAAAAAGTCAAACTTTGACGCGTTTGCGCCACCTCTATATCATGTCCGATTGAGCTCAAATTTTGCATTGGGTCATTTTTCGAGGCAATAAACATTTTGTATATGGTTTGTTAGCGAAATTAAAAATTACCATTTTCGCTGGCAGTCTAATTTTACTATATGTTAGCAATTCCATTCATTGATTGATCCACTAAAATTTATTTTCATTCGTTAAAAAAAGAAAAAAAAATACTTTAGTGACTTTCAGTATAAAATAGTGACTTTTAAGTGACCTGCTTAAAAAAGTGACCAACTGCCAGCTCTGCAATAGAGTAAATAAAGTGGAAATAAAGTAAGCGCATTTAGTTAGGTTTTCTCTATTAAGGTCAGTATCCACATTTATCCGGACACCTTCAAATCACTGTAACTTTTGAAATATTGCACGAAGGAGTGAAAATTTCGCTGAGGTATAGCTCGGAGTCATTGACGAAAAAGATTATAATTGGTATTTACATTTCATGTTTAGTGTAGGATTGGGCTATCTTCAGAAGATGGATCGATCTTATATTTAGCTCCAGGATCGATCCACTGATTAAATCGGTACCAAAGGATCGGGATTTGGTAGATCGATCATTTGATTTTCGTAAATATCGGAAACGCAAATAGTGACGTCATTGTAGGGAGCGATGCTGTTGTTGACGTTATGTTCGTTAAATTTACTAAGCAGTCTGTGGTGAGAGTAAATTGTTTTTGCGATGTTAAAACACATAAAAAAATTCAACACCTATTTTTTTGAAGATCGGAAAGATCTATTTTTCGATCTCTTCGTGGGCAAATAATCGATCAAAAAAATCGTAAATCGGGA